TAAAAAAATACAAGAAATAGAATAAGTATTAAAATATAATATATATAAATTTTATAATTTTTGATTGTATAGTTAATGATTTAAAAATTATCAAAGTTGAAATTTATAATAAAAACATAGTAAGTGAACTCAAACTTTTGAGAGCAACCATATATAATTAAAGCTAATAAAAATTAAATAAATAATATTTTTTATAAGTTTTTTTGTAAAAATTTTTATATCAATTTGATTTAAAAATATATAATAATTTTGAATATGTTATAATTAATTTTTCTTTCTTTGAAAATTTTATCATTATTGATAACAAAGATATCAATTGATTTTTTTGATTGCTAAAAATTAAATTTTTTATTAAACAAAAAAAATTGAAAATAAGAGAAAAGAAATAAAAAGATATCTTTGAAGATATTTTTCAAGTTGTTTAAAAAAATCAAGATTTCATTAGTTAAAAGGATCTAAAAACTTTTTGTAAATTAAAATTAATTATATTAATTTATCTTAAATTAACAATATTGATTTTATAATTATTTTGAAATTATATTTCAATTTTTTGAAAAATATATTTATTAAAAATTAATTTAAAAAAATTCTTGATAATTTTGGCAATATATTTTTAAAATTATAAAATATCCTTAAAAGTAAAATAAATTAAATACTATATAAAAAATCATTATACTGTACCATTTTTGCGTGTATATAAAAAATAATTTTTTTTTGTTGATGGCTAATCTTAAAATTTCGGAATCAAAACATTCTGTAGTTTTATAATAAAAAGGGAATAGGAAATACGTATGGTGTCAAAGAGGTCTAAATATTATGAAATTAAAAACAATTTTATTCAAATACTCAATCGTTAACTTCACCCTATTTGGATGAAAAAAATGTATGCCCACGGTATGAAGACATCACTGACATACCATATATGGAAAGAGTAAAGACGCAGCAAATTTGTGCCATCATTGTATCAATATTTCATCAGAAAATATATTTCTGTCGGAATTTATCTTGTTACTTTTTCTTATTTTTATTTATTTTTTTTTTTTTTGGAAAAATGGTTCCATATTCACCCCCTCCTGACATTCTTAATATAATATTTCGTGAACTTTCCACTTCAAATCTTTATTCTTGTTGCTTGGTTAACCGATTATGGTGCAGAGAGGCGATTTCCCTCATCTGGTCGTCTGCGTTCAACTTTTACTCGATTAACAATGTTAAAATTATTGATACTCTGCTCACGTTACTCGAGCCCTCGGAACATGAAAAACTTCAAACCCTCTTAGGTTTTGATATTGATCATCGGAGATGGGGACATGGGTTATTTTATTATTCTTCGATGTTAAAAGAATTAAACTTTGAAATCTTCCTTCAAGCAATTTTTGATTGGTGCAGAAAAGAAGACACGGTGTTTTATAACACTATTCTAAGGGTGTTACTGGAATTATTTGCGAATAATTCAAAGCTTTATTGTTTTACCATGAAAAATATCTCGGAATATTTACCGAATTTCTATGATGATTTGCAATTGGTAAATATATGTATGTTGGGTGAGGATGGAATCAAAGATTTGATTGTAGATGTAAAAAAAATGTGGCTAGGAAGAGGAGCCTTGGTGCCAGGTTTCGTTGATGTTTTCGCACGAAATTGTAGAAATTTGGTAAGAGACATCTTTGTATTTTGCATAGATGTACAGTATACAGTATTTATGCGCACGAGTAAAAAATCTTTGATCAATTTTGCAGAAAGAATTGACGACCGACTTCACATATTACAGTAGACACCATCGCGACCCTCAATTATCCGAGAATCTCTACTCTTTGATTTCCTCCCAAAGCAATCTTCAAAAATACATCTCTATCAATTACAAAGCACCTTCATATTCGTATCTCACTTCTCTTGCCTCACAATCCCACTCTCTCACCAAAATATACCTCCATGGAACCTACTTTAGGTCTGGTGGTCCTAATCTGAAATTCCTGACTAAGTGTAAGAAATTAAGATCTCTGACTTTACAAGGTTGCGAAAATATAACCATGGATTTGGTGGAACCATTGATGGTGAGCGATTGGACGAATTTAGAGTATGTATACTGTTCTAATCCTTATAGCTTTCCTATACGAGAATTTGACGAATGGGTTAAAGGATTTGACAACAAGGGGAAAATAAACATCATTCAGGTCGAAAAGTTATCTTAATTTAAATCTGTAATTGAAATATTCGTTGTATTGCCTATAGTGTTTTCACTTATACAGTATCTCGAATTTAAGCAATTTAATAATAAATAAATTCATGAGAAATGAATTTTTTCGTTATATGCGAAAGTTGTTAGCTAATTGATTAGAATTATTCGATTTTGAAATCAAAAAGAAAGGTATCTTGAAATACCATAAAAGTTGGACATACATACTGCACGTACTTCCCTTGGCGTGTACCCTCCCTCTATTGGTTTAAAGAACTAGACGAGTGATTTGCTGTACAGTACATCCCCGGTTATATAAATATATGTTCTATATGTATAGCGTCAATTACATCTAGCACCGACTTTTACTGTAATCGTCTCGTCTTATTTTATCTTTTGTTATTATGTAAATAAAGAAAAAAAAATATTTTTTTTAATACAATAAAAATTTTTTTTAATTTTTTAAAAGTTTTATGGTGTATAATACTAATTAAATACGCGCGATAAATATATGGATTCAATTCGTCTATCTTTTTTAATGGTCAAGTACCGTTTCACGAAAAAGGCTGTGGTTATTGGCTTCCGAAGCTTGAGTAAATTTAATGATGCTAGAAATTCCCTTTCGGCAATGAAATATATTTTTTAAAAATTTTTAAATTTTTTATAAAATTATTGGATAAATAAAATCCATAAACAAGATCTCTATACATGTGAGACGAATCCAAATGGCGCAAATCATGCTTACGCGCAACTTGGATCATAGTGTTTGTTCTTATAACACCAAATCCGTTCTTACTGGTGATTCGTCCGTCCGTAAACTTGTTTCCATTCTCCTTTAATCCTTTTCATGTACGTGCTCCGGTTTTTAATTGCTTAGTAAGATTTGATCTTATTCCTTTCGAGTTCCCATTAATTTCGGTACAGCGTGTAAACGAATAAAAAGATCTCTAATTCATGTGACGCTGTAAACTTTTCGTGTGATGTTGTATTCTTTTCGCGTGATGTAGTGCTACCGCCTTCTGTGCATCACTTGATCGACAATGTCACCCTGTTGATAGGCATAATACCACTGGTCCATGCTATTTTCAGAAACAATTCCAACACTAATGCTGCATCGTCGCTCTCTGGTGTACCACGTATGCAATTCTTTTCGCGGTGTCTTGTAATAGAATGAATTCAACTTTCTTCGGCAATTTATCCCAAAACTTCTTGAGCCTTCTTGAAAAGAACGATGAACATAATGTCATCATTGAGACGGGCGAGGATTCTCACCCTTTCAGGGCGCATACTTCTGTTCTCTGTTGTCGTTGTCCGCAACTCTATGATGAGTTAAAGAACGTCAAGGAAAACACCAAGAATATTAGGATTGTTAAGAAACCGAATATCTCGACCAAGGTCTTTGACATCGTTATCAAGTAAGCAGGTTAGATAGATCGAGCAATGTATATATGCCTTCAAACGCTTTAACACAATGATTTATACCATTTTCAAAATGAAATTAGATATATTTATGGAGGTGTCGTTAATCTGGAAAAATTCGAGACTTTGCTCGTCTTTGACACTTTGGTGGCCGCAAGTGAACTCAAGCTTGAAGAATTGTTTAAACATCTGGAATCTTATCTGGTCAAACATCAAGCCTCTTGGTTACGTTCCAATCTTTCCAACACGTATCCAAAAATTCACCTAAGAGATGACTTGACTCTGCTTCAAAATTTCTATAATGATATTATATTGAGAAAACCCGAAGTTATATTTGACTCTGGCGATTTCAAAAAGCTTGATGAAGCTACCTTGGCTTCTATTCTTAAACGGGACGACTTACAGCTTGAGGAAACAAAAATATGGAATCATCTGATTGAATGGGGGATTGCTCGAACCCCTGATCTACCCGAGGATGTCAATAAATGGAAAAACAAGGATTTCGATGCTCTCAAGGAGAGGCTTAAACTTTGCCTACCACACATTCGATTCTTTCAAATTCCCATCGAAAATATTAGTCCTTATAAACAAATCCTTGATCCTCAACTTTGGATTGATATTTGGAGTAAGTCAAATATGGTACCCGATCTTCAGATTGTTTCATCGATTCTCCCCCCGAGGAATATTTTAAGCAAACAAACTCTCGTCGAGAATGTGTCTAATATAATGACGAACGAGCATATAGCAGAAATAGCATCATGGATTGATAAAAAGGAATCCCCGTATAAAATTACCGAGAATCCTTATGAACTCAAGCTATTATTGCGCAAAGATGGTAAAAATTTTTCGATCAATGATTTTTGGAAGTCGTGCAACAGGGAGCAAAACTTGATTGTAATTTTGAAAGTTCGTGAGACCAACGAAATTCTTGGCGGGTACAACCCCATTGGCTGGTCCATTCCAAGCGATGATTGGCACTACGCCAAGACATATGGTAGTTTCATTTTTTCATTGAAAAATGGTAACATGAAGAGATCCATTTTAAGCAAAGTCAAGCATGCAAAAGCCGCGATCATCAACAACCGAGATTATGGTCCTCGATTTGGAGCTACCGATCTAAGTATGTATGTGGGCCCGCGGAGGGAGTTACTCTATTTTTGTAGACAACAAAATTATGAAAAACCTATTAGAAACTCGGCGCAAAATTTCGACATCAGTCATATAGAAGTTTTCAAGATTTCCAAAAATTCTAGGACCGAAACGAGCAACAAATTATGCGCGTAATTGCAATCATTCGAATCTAAATCGTGCAGTGTACTTTTAAGCCTATTTCTTTGTATCTTTATTTTCTGAATGTAAGTTAAAACGAGAATGAAACCTTATCTCTTATGATCCAAAATAGACGCGTCTTTCAATTTTTCTAAAAAAAAACCACAAGTAATATTATTGTACATACTGCAATTTTTTATTTATTGACTTTTAAATTCTGTGAATAAAAATAAGATTGATTTTCATTTCCGCATAGACACTATCACCAAAAAAATAATTGATTTGGTGTTGAGTAATATGCAATTCAATGGAGTTACCAAATAAATCGTTCATTCAAAAAGGTTATGCATTTAAGTTTGAATTCAATTAAAGATTTTATTTAATTTTGTGCGTGAAAATCAAATTTGAAAAAAATTTTTAGATGTGAAGATATATGATAACAAATCGAAAAATATACATCCGGAATCTCATAAAAATTCACTTTAAAATGTTTAGAGAGATTCTTTTAAAAAAAAAAACAATGATAAATAAATAAATATTATTATTTTCGAAAAGCAAAAGTCTTATGCGCAGATATTATGTCTTGGCAAACAATTAAATATTCTAATCTACAAGAAAGTTACCTGCCTCAGATGAAATTTATAATTTACAAAAATTTTTTTTTTAAAAAAAAAAACAAAAATCAAAAGAAAGATCTATTTTACCATCGATTCGAATCCAGGGTAATTTTTGGAATACCAAACGTTTTAAATCCTTTATCACATTGATTTAGACAACGACTTTTGCCGATTTCATGTTGTTTCCTTTGAGTTTTTCCATGATTTTATCCTTAATGTAATCCCCTATTTGATTGTATTCTAAATTTAGGTAAGTCAAGGCATCATTATTGGAAAGAGTTGTGCTAATCTCTTTTCCTGCCAAATCACCCAGTCGATTGTGTCCCAGATCAATGTGATTCAGGGTAGTATTTATGCGCAGAGCCTTCGCCAGTTCCTTTCCTGCTTGATCGCCAAGTTTGTTATATTTCAGATTTAAACTTTCCAGAGTATCATTGTTTTGTAAAGTTTTGGCGAGCGCAATTCCTGTCTGATCACCTAATTTATTGAACTCCAGATTCAGGCTGGTCAGAGTGGTGTTTTCAAGTAGTGCCTCGGCCAACGCCTCTCCGGAAGAGTCACTTAGTTTATTATATTCCAAATCTAAAATTTTCAGGGCATTATTATGACGTAGAGAAATGGCCAGCGCTTTCCCTACCGAATCATTTAGTACATTATACCCAAGATACAGGCCAGTCAATGTATTATTTTTGCGCAGGACTTCAGCTATTGATATTCCCACCGAATCCCCCAATTGACTTCCTCTCAGTTTCAATGTGGTCAGGGTAATATTGGTTTCCAGGGCAGCGATCAACGCCATCCCCGTCAGATTACCGAGCTCATTGTATCCAAGATCCAGGTTGGTCAAAGTTTCATTTGCGAGCAATGCCTCGGCCAGTACTTTTCCTGTCGCATCATCTAAATAATTGTCGTGTATATTTAAATTGACCAGGCTGGTGTTCTTTTGCAGTGCATTCGCAAGCGCCTTTCCTGTCTGCTTGCCAATGTTGTTATCTTCGAGATTTAAAATTTTCAGGGTGGTGTTCTCGCATAGAGCATTGGCTAATTTCCCCCCCGCGACATCACTCAATTTATTGTACCCCAAATCCAAATTGGTCAAGGTGGTGTTCGTACACAAAGCTGTGGCCAGTGCTTCCCCCGTTACGTCACCGAGTTTGTTGCGTCCCAGATTTAAATTTATCAGCGTGGTATTTTCACACAGAGCTTCGGCCAGTTCTTTTCCCGCCGAGTCACTGAGATTGTTGCTCCCCAGATTTAAGTCGGTCAATGCGGTGACCTTTCCACGTATGGCTTCGGCCAGTGCTTTTCCCGTTAGATCGCCGAGGTTGTTACCATCCAGGACCAAATTGGTCAACGTGTCATTTCTGAGTAGAGCGTCGGCTAGTGCTTTTCCAGCGGGATCACCAATGAGATGATGGGATAAAATCAATTTATTTAGCTTTTTATTTTCAAGCAATGCTTCGGCGTTCCCTGGACTCATTTTCAAAGATTTTCCAAAATAAGAAAAGGATAAATCAAAGGCTTTTAATTCAAAGTAAGTTTTCCCCAGACCAAACAATATATCAGCATTATTTGATTTTATCTGGTCCGCCTTCTTATAATAATCCAGTGCCTCGTGATACTTATTGAGCGAAAAATGAATATCACCACATATTACCAGTGCCAATGAATTGTCCGGTTCGATCTCTAGCGCTTTCTGAATGTCAACCAATGCCTTTTCGAATTGATCAACCCGGTGATAAATTCGACTCCTATATATATAAGCCAATGCTTTTTTTGGCTTTAGGCTGATTGCGTTATCCAAATCCTCAATAGCCCTATAATATAGTTTTAAATTTTCAGAATGGATCGCTCTTTTGCATCTAATCGAATAGCTGGTTTGATGATTTTTTAGAGAAATTGTGTAGAACTTAATTGCTTCTAAATCTTCATTGGCCTCATTTGCTTTACGATATGACCAATCAAAAATTTTTGGTCGCATTTTATTAAGGATGTTCTTTGAAATTCTGTTAAATCTTCGCATTCCGAAAGCGTGTAATTTGTTCAACTTTAAGAAAACATCGTCATTAAGTTCGCAAGGGCGGTTTGATGGCACATGGGTTGAGTCGCCAGGCATGTCTGAATCTTCGACCTGTTCCAATCGTTTGTGAAGGCCCTTGAGAATAGCGTTTTGAGAAAGATTAAAGGTGGATTCCTGTGTGACTATAGAGCGACACACTGGACACGAAAACTCTTTGTTTTCCAATTGCAATATGGATTTCCATTCGTCAATCGCATATTTGCTAATTGAATGACCGCACCCTAAGACGCAGAAGTCACCGGTGATATTAATGGTTATTGGGCAAGTCAATCTTTCAACAACAAGATCCAACAATTCCGCATCACCCCTCAATCTTGAAATTTCACTATTGGTCAAAGAATCATTTGCATTGTAAGTGACCTTTTTTTTTCCCTTCGATCTTATCTCTGACATAGGTCTCAGTGTTATTTTGCAAATCATGTCATCAATCAGAATCTTCTGACCAACCACACTAATTAATGAGTCATAGCTTGCGCCTTCCATATGCGACTGTTCCTTGTGAACATCTATCTCGGCCTTAATTATGTCTTGGAATCGATCTGGCCTTCGATGTGATAGTCCGAATAATAATTCCACGGATTTATATTTTATAAAGTAGCTTCGAGAGTTTTCCAAAGATTCGAGACCTATGTAATAACACAATGCCAAAATTATTTCCTGCGAAGTTTTACTGCTAATATCTTGTGCCAGGTCAAGTGCACCGAACCATAACAAGTTTGATAAATTAACCGGTTCGTCATCAGTTAGCATGTTAATAAAAGCAGATTTGTTGTCAAAAACTTCTTGATCAGTTTGTATCGACTGGGACCATTCATCGAACACATGTTGCCAGATACATTCGAAAAGCATAATCTCCCCATTTTCGCACAACAGGCGATAATTTTCATCATTATTCAACGTTACCAAGGTGTTGTTGATTGTCAGCAGTTCGCGCCAGTCGACGTACCATTTGGAAATTGGGTATCTAAAAGACAACGCCTCTCTTGATGATAGGAAGGTTCCTGATGTTGAGGTGGTTGAAATTCCGGGTGCCATCCCCATTAGGTTCATCAGAATGTGTTTTACTTGTTTGATGAATTTTAATGAAGGCTTCTCCTCATGTCTCATATTGTGCAAAGTATCCTTCAAATGAATAAGAAGGAAGTTGATATTGTAATTATAGAAACATCTATAATCATCGGAATCCTTGTGCAAGTTCTTGGATGAATCATAATGAACTTCGGCAAATTTCACCAGACTGTTGCGCAATTTATCTTGAAATTCTTGCGCCAG